TTGTTAGACTCAGGCTAAAAGTTAATTGTTTTTGCACACCCATTGTCTGAAGACGAGCTGGGGAACCAGTCTCGAAAATTCACAATAAAATTTTGCTGTTTCCCAAAGAACTTCATCTTTCTAAATATATATATATATATAGTGTTAGGGGGCGCTCACCGATCGTTAATACGGAACTCACTCGTTCCGTTGTGCCTTATGGACTCTCTCTCGAGCCCAACCAGCAGCCGCACAGCGGCTCATGATATATAGGCAGAATGGTATTACCGACAAAGACAAAGGAGACTGGAATGACCATTTCTGGCTTATTAGCCGTCGTCAGCCAGCCATACCCAAGCCCGAAGTGTGGAACACCCGAGCCTCGAACTCGCGACCTGTTGGTTTAGTAGTCAACGCATCTACTCACCGGGCCACGAGCCCGGTATATATATATATATGTATAGGCAGAATAACATTACCGACAAAGACAAGGGAGACTGGAATGGCCATTTCTGGCTTATTAGCCGTCGTCAGCCAGCCACACCCAAGCCCGAAGTGTGGAACACCCGAGCCTCGAACTCGCGACCTGTTGGTTTAGAAGTGAACGCCTCTACTCACCGGGCCACGAGCCCGTTGCCTTGTCGGTTTTCGATCGGGAATATACAGTATCATGCGCCGCTGTGCGGCTGCTGGTTGGGCTCGAGAGAGAGCTCTTAAGGCACAACGGAACGAGTGAGTTCCGTATGAACGATCGGTGAGCGCCCCCTACCACTGTATATTCCCGATCGAAAACCGACAAGGCAACGGGCTCGTGGCCCGGTGAGTAGAGGCGTTGACTTCTAAACCAACAGGTCGCGAGTTCGAGGCTCGGGTGTTCCACACTTCGGGCTTGTGTGTGGCTGGCTGACGACGGCTAATAAGCCAGAAATGGCCATTCCAGTCTCCCTTGTCTTTGTCGGTAATGTTATTCTGCCTATGTATCATGCGCCGCTGTGCGGCTGCTGGTTGGGCTCGAGAGAGAGCTCTTAAGGCACAACGGAACGAGTGAGTTCCGTATGAACGATCGGTGAGCGCCCCCTACCACTATATATATGTATATATATGAAGCGGTAAACAGGTGTCCCATAAATTATAATTCGAAGTATAAATGTCCTTTGTGCAAGATAAGAAGGCTTTTTTTCGCAATTTTTCTACTTTAGTTCCCCAGTGCGTCCTCAGACGTAAATCATTTGTGCACAACCGTCAAATTTAAGTAAGCCCAAAAGTTTATATTGCTCTTACACTCCTGCCAGCCTGCCTTTTCTGTCATTTGGTGTCAAGTTTTGATTGGCTACCGCCACTCCCATTTTTTGAGGTTGCTTGGCACGGCGTATAATTCGATGTGGCGATTGCTGCATGATTTTCCAGATTGTATGATTTCTAAAAACCCTGAAACGTGTTGGGCGGACAAACAGATAAAATGCGAGTCTTATTCTACCTAAGTCTCTGTCCATTTTCTAACGTATGCATGGCAACTTGAGATGTGCACTCTCATTATTTTAATGTCGACCGCTGTTCGTGCCTACGTGTAGTTGCAAATTTTCCCGTTGGACCACTGCACACTGCACTACGGGCGTCGCATGGTATCTTATAGTTGACTTCTTTCGTATCTAAATAGCCAACTTTATCCTTAGGGTGTGTAGCGGTCAGCCATCATAACCGGTCTAGTGTCATTGTTCAAGACCTCGCTGCCTCAATGTCAATAACCTTTTGCAGTGGGCCGTCCTAGACACGCTGACCTGAAGTCACGCGACCGACAGCTCGGGCATATCTGCCTCCGCACATCTCCAGCTGCCCATGAGGCAACTTGAACGCACCGCCCCTGCAACCTACAAAACAGGCCACTGGGACACCACCCCTCGGAAAATACAACGCACACTGACTGGACACCGCTTGAGCTTGGTCCATGAGCCTACAAAAGCGGCCGCCACCAATGTCCCAGAGACTCTTAGACATGACTGGACGCAATCAACACCAGCCGTGGGCTTTGCCAGTGGCTACTGCCGCTCGAGAGGACAACTCCAAGTTCTGTATACATTAAAACCCTCATTCTGGTGACTCCTGTCTTTTCAACATCTGGGGATTTGACCTGATGATAGAAGCGCTCTAAGTTCACACTCTCACAGCTTATTGTCAACAGGTGGAAAAGCTGGTCACGAAGTGTAGTCGTCGGTTTTTGCGTCACATGTATTTTGTGCTTCCTCAGGCGTCTTTCTGCTACTGCGGCAAGCTGATGTGTAAAAGTTCCCGCCAGTTTTTCTCTGTACGAGGACATCAAGAAATGGGAGTTTACTGTCGACCTCGTTCTAGAGTGTGAATAGGACTTCCGGAGGAGTTGATTTGGCAGTGCTGTGGAGCATTTCCAGTTGATCTCTTTTAGCAACAACAAAGGCGTCAAGGGAGAATGTTTAGGTGGATCAGGAGTTTTCTGTCCTCCAGACTACAAAGAGTCGTCGTTAGTAATTCTACCTAGGAATGGGAAAAGGTGGAAAGTGTTGTCCCACAGGGTTCTGTCTTAGGCCCAGTACTCTTCCTGATTTATGTTAATGACTGCATCAGCGAAGTGAATTGCGAGGCTCTCATGTTCGCGGATGACATAAAAATATGGAGTGAAGTCAAGTTTGATGATGACGCAGAGAAGTTGCAGTCGAACATCAACAAACTGTGTGCTTGGTCGAACAGATGGCTTTTGAAGTTTAACGTGTCCAAATGCGTGGTTTTGCACCTGAACACCGGCCGCAATGCCTCTCCCAAACACCAGTACTATATTGACGGGACGAGGTTAGAAACTGTGGAAAGACACAGAGATCTGGGTGTATGGACGACCACAAATCTATCGCCATCAGAACACTGCAGAAAGATGGTCCAGAAGGCAACTAGTACTCTACACTGGATCAGACGTACATTTAAAATATTTCCTCCCGAACTTTTCGAAAGACTCTTTGGTGTCTTTGTAAGACCTCATCTAGAGTATGGAATGCCAGCAGCTTCACCATGGATGAGAAAGGATATCAACTTACTCGAACAGCTGCAACGCAGAGCGACAAAGATGGTCGACGGTCTAAAACATTTGTCTTATCAGGAGAGGCTGAATTTGCTTGGCCTATTCCCTCTCCCTTATAGACAAATAAACTGCAGTCAACTCTGGACGTTCCGGATTGTTCGCTGCCAGGGTTGCTCATGAAGAGCAGAGGACTTCTTTGAGTTCGCCCGAACAAACCAACTACGCGGCCATGCATACAAAGTCGGGAATGAGCGCACGCGTTTAGACCGACGAAAATTTTCTTTCAGCCAGCGGGCTGTCAGGCCGTGGAACTCGCTTCCAAGCGAGATGGTGACGGCTGACACAGTTTGTGTGTTTAAAAGAAAACTTGCTCGCTAGTTTTCAACAGAACTCGGCTTGTACAGCATGACTATGCACAGCCAGTTTTGTAAAATCTGTCATATACAATCTTCCGCACTAATTTACAGTGACCCCATGCACTGCCTTATGATTACGTTTGAACTGTGACCCAATCACATTTTAAATGCCTGCAATTTAATTTAATTTTTGAGTATGAAACTGCGAAAGCACTGTACATAAATAGGGTCATCAAGGGCTTTGCCTGTAACCCTTCAATATATGTACATACATATAAATAATGCCTAACGCACGCAAAATTCAGGGTTAGGTAATGGTAAGGCGCTATTTTCCAGTTTTTACGTCAAGATTTCTGCAAGAAAGCCAGCGATGGGTGGTCCCGTAGGGGCTCTTTTCAGCCGTTGGTAGTATTCCTGTGGAAATGAAAAGTTCATTTCCAGACATATGTCCAAATGTTCTACAAAAGCACATGCCAGAATATGTGTGTCGTAGTACTGGTGACGTTCTGTGCATTGTTTTGCCATCACAGATGTCTGAGTTACCTACTGGTCATATGCAGGTGTGTCTGGACGCAATTTTACAAAAGTATAGTCAACAGGACTCCGTCCATATTCTCAAATACATAAATGAATATGCATACACGCTCTAGTAACCTGGCTTCCGGGAAGGCATCTTGCTTCTACCTTCTGATCACAACCTTGCTTAGCTGGACGCTGAGTATTGCTCAATCAGCGCTTTGTTCTAAACCTTGTATCTCCAACGTAGTCGGCTCCTGAAGAATTGCGGAATTGTCACCATCCCACGTCCGCCATCTCCCACTACCGTAAACTCCTTCCTCTCTCTACATGTCTAGTAAGCGCAGCGGCATTTAAATTACGTTTATTAGGCTTACGAAATCTTTTAGAGATCGATCTTACTAGTCCTAGTTATCTTGACTTGGAGTTCATCGATGACATTCAGAATTTTCCAGCATTCATTACACCAAGGATCTGTTATTTTGTTTAAATTAGCCATCAAGTTCGCAGACACTGAATTCTGATTCAACCCGGAGGCGGCTGTGGTTTCTTCTGGCTCGCTCTCTGTCACTGGCAAAATGGCTGACGCAAGCGCCTCAAAGGTGTTTAGAGTGTTTTCCCCACTTCTTCGTTTGCATTTAAAACGTCATCTCACACTCCCTTGTTTCAGGAAAAGTCGAACGAACCTATAAATCTAACCGTGCACGGACAAGATGGATCTGTTATCCACTTTAAGATTAAGCGAACGACTCCCCTTAAAAAACTGATGACAGCCTACTGTGACCGGCTGGTACGTGAAGCCGCTTTTCTGATGTCTTACCATCTTAGGGGTTGACCTTGTCCAATGTCCGTTTTACGTGTGACGGCGAACATGTACAGCAGGAGGATACTCCTGAATCGGTTGGTTTTTATTCGTGTCATAATTATTTTCTAGCTGGATCTTAACGACCATGATACGATTGAGGTTTTCCAGACACAAACGGGAGGACTGTGAACTGCATTTAACTTGTAAATTTATGAGCCGTCTTGTGACTGTACACTAAATTTTTACGCAGAGCATGTCTGTTTTTAATTACTCAATCACTGTGTTCTGTTATTCGTTGCCCTTGGTACGGTAACCCTATACCTTCTTTCATGCTTGCATCCCCGACAATCCGAGTGTCGTGTCTGCATGCCAGGCATCACCTCCCAACCTGACGACTTCTCCGTGCCGTGGAGCACATAACGCACTAGTTATTGCCGTTGCGCGTTTTGTTCTTAGTAAGTTCTGTGCCTGAGTAGGCTCCAAGCAGCGTTCTCGGCAGCTGTTCATAAGGTCGACAGAACGATTGGATGCCTATCTGGTATCGCGCCCCCTTGCAACTAAAGATACCTTACGTGTTGCTGCATGTAGTCAACGCGCTCTTCATCACTCACAAGGGCTTTCCGTCGGCCTTGTTTTTGCTACCTTTCCCCGAGGTGAGATATTTATTTCTCGTGAGTATTGCACGGGACGGACTCCATCTGCTCTTGTCCGCTTGCTAGCTGCTGGATTCTAACGAACAATGATCCAACGTCATATGCCTTTTGGCGATTGAAAGGGGTCCAGAAATGCAAATGCCTTTTCGCAACGTCGCTTGGGGTTCACCCACCCCGGTAGACCGTTCACTGTCACGTCCACGGATTCAGCATCCTGTGGCGGTATTCTTAACTGGTTCGGCCGACTATGTTGCCCTTTCGTCAAACCACGAATGCTCGCTCTCCCGTGTTTCAGAAGCGGCACTCCGGAGCGAATGTAAGCCATTTTGCGTACCAAGAGCACTTTACTAAAGGTGCTCTCGAGTCTACTATTCGCAGATTTGCACCCGACCCTCTGACAAGGATCCAGATGCGTCGGTCCCCTCCGCGCCGTCACACAACCTGAGATTAACTATATAGGGATTTGCTTAACACGATGCTTCATGGTTTGTGCATGTCAGGCTTCCAAACCAACAACTTTTCGCCAGTAAATGTATATCCTGTGGAACGGAGTGTTCGACAGAAACTTGTTCGGTGGCCTTTTATGCTCATGACGATGCTACCATCAACTGTCGCATTCGGTTGCGAGACCTAGATCCACCGTTATCGCACTGCCTATTCGTCAGACCTGAAAGCCTGCTTATTTCGCCGTTGACCTTCGGTGAGTTTTGTTCCTCTGTCCGCCATCCATGGATGTGTTTGGCAGTTGTGATAGCACTGACCCCGTCTCCCCGGGGTCCATCACCGCCTTTTAGGTTCTCTGTATTCTTGTTTACGAATCCGCGTCATCTCGCTCGTTCTCTTTCCGGACTTTACTTCGCTGTCCCTTGCGTTGTCGACTGTTAATTTAAGTTCCTGAGTTTAGTCATTGTACTCTAAGTTTTTGGGTTTCGCATTTTAAGCCCAATCTTCACATGCTGAAAGGGTAAGTAACTGTTCGCTATAATTTTTCAGACGACTGGGTACGTCTGTCATCGTCCATGCAGATGTATGGAATCTCTTCCGTCTATGATATGAATTTCCCTGTCAAGAGACTATCGTGAATCTTTGCCTCGAGATGCGTATTTTCCTGCCCCTGCCCCTGGAAAGTCGTAAGCCTTCTCAAGCGCAGTTACGCATTGTTTACACACTTGAACGTCTGATTCCGGTCGTCGGTGATTTTTTATCTCATCCACGACACAGTTCTGTCACGACAGATGAGTAGTACGGGCGCGGAGGACTGCGACACTTCTTAAGTAGCGTGAGAAAGCTCACAACCAGTAATGCTTGACCGCGCCCCGCTGTGGACGGCTTGGACAGCGGTCCTGACCACTAAGACTATCCTGCCTAACGACTGGGTGGCAGTTTACACGTATGAAATGCTTTTCCTCGATTTTGTTTTCGGCGGTAGTGTCCCTGCGGTGCGAGAGCTAACAAGGATCTTCCAATACTGTTGGTGCGCTATTCTGGTAGTTGACTCACTTTCTGATATTGCCGGCGACAAGAACAGTTTTCACTGACCACACCATCTTGATAGAGATTGAAAGATATGAAGTCATCCACGTCGGTCACACTGGCTTCATGACTTTCCTAATGGCAACGGCTGCGGTGTTGCCATCTGGCGTTGTGAGTCCCCGGTCCCGCTAGTAAGTTTTATCAGACATAATTAGCGTGTGTTTTCGGGTCCGTCGCCCATGGTTGCTGATTTCGTGAGCGGTCTACTCCGTTGGGTTTGAACCATCACCTTTGTGATAATGTTGATTTGGGGGTTTAGGCCACGAAATCGGGTGTAAAGGCCTTCGGCAACCCCGATTCGTCTTCTTCCGGGTTTAATTGTAAGCTGTGGGAATTTGACGCATTCAGGTTCTTGTTGACGATGGCCATCCACTATGAAAGTCCGCGCCATCGAAGTAACACCCGTAGTCGAGGATAGTTCGTCACACAAAGTCCACTTACCTATTATTTCCTTGTCTCTGATTTGCTTGAAATTGTTTCTGACCCACTGAGTCTTTGTCAGTGGACCTGGAGAATGACTATTTTGTGTAAGACACGGAGATATGCAAAGACATCTGCCCCGACTGTCGTCACGAAAGTTTCCGCCAATGTCCGCTCTGAGTGTTTTCGTTCCTTAAGGGACTGCCGACCGAACATTCTTTCCTCGTCATCAAAGGACAGAGATATTGTTTTCGACTGAAGACAACTGTCTGTTGCCTTGATGGTGCTGCGCCGTTCGGACCGGTCTATCAAAGTGCCCCTCCCCCGGAAGGCCACGAACACTGGCTGCCTGTACTCGGATGTGATCGGTGCTCTGGGGGGAGAACCGAATCATCCTGTCCATTAACAGCCTCCGAAGTTACTGCTTGAGTTCATAAGATTTTTTAGGATGAAGATACGAAGCTGTTCATGTGCATGTCTCATGCCTCATTGGTGCGTCAAGCCGACTGGGAATGCTAGGGTTGGTCGTGGTTGCTGACATGGCGTAAGCCGCAATGCAGAGTAAGGTCATTGCGTTTCGGACCTTAACTACACCGGCGACTTCGTACAAGTTTGCTGTTGGAACGTACAGTCGAAGGTCGCAAACGAATGCCTGATTACGTTGTTTGTGTGTGCGACGTAGTTGTACGCGCTTGTTAATTTATATGACTTAGGTACGCCAAAGTACGTCCTGACTGATAAATTGGTGCACGGCCGCATGTCTACGACTGTTTCCATTATGTAGATCCAGAATTCCGCCTCTAAAAGTGCAAGGCATGCGTAAACATTACTTTTGTCCACAAGTGCACAAGAAGCACTGGGTGGGTCAGGCAGTTAGACAGGCCAGTGGAATGGGTGTGACGGAACAGTCTCACCCATCCGTCAAGTAACTTTATGGAGCAGACTTCAAAGTCTGTTCTTCTTGGGGCCATTTCGTTAGTAGACTGAGCTTTAGGACTTTGGACTCGGGCTGACGGATGATCTCGGATCGTTTGGTACGCCCTGGCCTGAATTGGGCCTCTAGCCCTGTCGCCTGATACACTGGCTAATATAAAGGTGAAAAAGCCTTGCATCGCACGCTAGAGCATGGGGACTTATCGCACTGACAATGCGCAGTTTCACCACGTACAGTACTAAGCGCGCGTTGCTTGTCCCCCCTCCTTGGGTACTCCGGTCAGATAATGGCTCACGCAGCGCTAAGGTGTCAGGAACCACCTCCACAGCGTTATCGGTGACAAATCTAACCCACCAGGCTCAGATATGCGCTGTGGGACCGGTGTTGCTGAGGATTTCATGTCTCCGTGTCTTCTTGATGCCATTGTTGACGTCGCACTTGTTGCGGTAACGCCAAATTTCGATGACTTGCACGAAGAGGCCTTACATGATGCTCTCTAGGCGTATTCAGGTGTGTTCCACCTTTGCATGCGATTGAAATGCTATGGCAGGAAGTGTTAGGTCCGCCTGCTGGGCGAGTTCTTAGATCGCATGCGTGGACCACCATTTCATGAGTAGGGAACTATTTACCAATCTTGTCTCTCTGTCACGTCAGGGGACACTAGTCGAAAGCTATACTATGAATTTGGGTTTTGGTACCGTGATGCATGGTCTTCACGCCCAGCAGATACTCGCGCGGTATGGAGATAGTCGGCTAGTGTTTCCTGCGCTCAGCTGTCCAAATTCCTTCCCAGCCGTATTTCTAACGACGTTGACTTTAAATGTACCTATTCTACTCAAAAGCTGAGATAGTCCGACGGCTAGGAGGTACCACTCTGCGCGTCATCCCTCAAACCTGCGGTATCTGACCTCCGACACATCTCTGGTCCTGCGATCTACTGGACTTGCGTGCCAGCTGGTCGAACTGGAGTCTGTTGCTCGCCGACTGCAGTAGCTGGTAGTTATACTTTTTATGAGATGAATCTGCATTATGTACTCCGCCGGAAGGGTTTGTGATGAGTGATGTACAGGTGGCCTTCAAGCAAGCTAGTTTGCTTCCATATGACAAGTCCGCGACCACTTATGCGCCACTGAGTACGTCAAGCCTTTGGGCAGTAGTATACAGAGTCACGCCCTCTCTTTTGGCGTTCTCAACAGTCCTACCTTCGGCTGTCTGGCACAGTCGTGCTGACTATTCACAGTAACCAGATTGGAATACTCTGACAAAGACTTCTGCCAACGTCGGGGCTCAGTACTTTTACCTTGACTACAGCATTCTGACGCCTGTCTTGCTGCCTTGACACTGGCTTCATCGGCCGTCATTTCCGGAATCAAATCGGATGGCTGGCTGCGTATTTTCGACATCACCTATGACGTGCTGTCAAATGGCGCCCTTCAACATCCTTTAATTATTCGTAGTATCTAGTCCAGCTACCGATTTGCCTTCTCGCTAGGCCTACCGACCGCGTGTGGCGAGTTAACGTCACTGGAGCTGAAATGAGCTGTCTAGATCATTTTTGGGCAAACTGTGTGCTGCGAGACGGACTCGGGATTTTGCAGTTCGCGGACGCCTGCTATTGGCTGGCCAGTGATCACTTGCGCCCGTAATTA